TCTCTCTCTCTCTCTCTCTCTCTCTCTCTCTCTCTCTCTCTCCCAGATAGGAGGGGCAATAAATAAGAGCCTGGGGAGCCCTTCTTGAGCTCTGCTCTTGCATTCCAAACACCTGATCCCCAAAAGCCAGTGGTAATGGTCTTTGTGTCTCTAACTCATTGCAGAGAGACGGTCACCCACGAATGTCCAGACTACAAAACAGGCGGCACCAACTCCTGTTACTTTAACAAGCAGCACACCTCCATGTGGCTGTTATACACCATCATGATAAACGCCACTAACCAGATGGGAAGCAGTTCCTCAGATCCACATTATGTGGATGTGACTTATATAGGTAAGAAGGGGGTGGCAGAGAAATGTATGAATCCATTATTTATTTACCCATAGTCACACTCGGTTTGAGACTTCTAGGCTTTTGAATGCACTCTCAAAGGAAAGAAGGGAAAGTTACAATATGTGTACCATGACGAGTAATTAAGCCAATTTTCATCGGGTTCATTGTGGAACTTTGTTCCCCTTCTTTTCCATCCAGCATGAATGTTCTCTGTATACTTCTCTTGTCAATCATTCTCTCCTTCCTTGGCAAGCTGGGAGTTCTCTCTTCATGGAAGATAGGGCTGCACCATAGAGCAGCAACTTTTTGATGAGGATTATCTGATTCTGGGCCCACAGAAGTATCTCCAATTGCTTTACTCCAAATGCATTTGTTGCTTCTTACCAACTGCAGTTACGATTCCGCAAAGTAGTAGAGAGCACATCATGCTTTTGAGCACTAAGTTGAAGATCAAAATCACAAGTGCAATATTTGGAGAAGTCGTTAGCAAAGTAAGACAAGCTTCTTGATTTCCATGATCAGCATTGAGTTGAAGGGCAGATCAACTGTAGTGGCATATACAGTTTGGCAGGAATGACACAGGAGAATCCTAAGACAGGAGCTGAACCACTCCTTTGTCGGTTTGTTCTATTGTTGTGGCTTTCCTGTTACTGTGGTGCTGGAATCTATGCCATGAGGATCAGAGTGAACAGGTTTCAACGAAGTTTCCAGACTAGAACTCGTATATCAGTGGAACATTGTATGATAGAGAGCCAGAAGAAGAACCCTTGCCCAGGTGGATGGCACTCAAAATACTCTGAGAAGAAGCAGCCTCCTCAAAATCTATCTGACTGCCATGATTTGGGTAGAGTAACGCTTCCAGGGCTGGCATTTGTCAGTTGGGCAGAAACTCAAAATGAGAAGAAACCACTACAAACATTCATCAGTAATAGAGCATGCAATGTTAAATGTATGAATCTAAGAAAATTAGAAATTGCTGATATTGAAATGAAACTCCTAAGGATAGACATCCTAAGCTAACGCTGAGTGGTATTGTCCACTTTGCATCACAAGAACATAAGTCTATTATCACAGGAATGAAAATTGAAGAGAAACTTTTGGAAGTCCCATGTCCATGTACTGCTGTTGTTGTTTTTTTAATTAGCTTCATCAAAACTTACTGGCATATGATATTAATAATGTTCAAAATTTTGTGTACCCTGTTGGATCACCCTTCTTTGAAACGGGCACAATATGAATCTGTGCCAGTTGGTTAGCCAGGTAGGTTGTCTTGTAAGGCTTTTTTTGAGCACTTCTGAAATCTCTGAGCACTTCTCATGTTCTTTCCTTAGGGTTATCTAACATCAAGTCTCTACACATTTCCTTAGAACACTTTCTTTGGTCTTCTCAACCTACCTTTTGAGACCTTCTGTTCAACTCTTTTACTTAATCAGACATGGCGTTCACTTTTGCTACTCTACATTAAAAGGCAAGTTTCAGAGTCTCTTCTGACAAAAGACTTTGGTTTTTTCTTTCTTTCGTGTTGAGTTAGTCTGGGTACATTCAGAGAAACAAGTCCACACAAACTCATGCATACGAGAGAGTTTTCTATAAAGGTTAAGTGCCATCAAGAAAACATCCCAACCCAGTGCTGCCCAAGCCCACAAGTCCAACATTAACCCTTATGTACAACACCAATCCACAAAGTCCTCCTCCATCTCACAAAACACACACTATGACACTGACTGCAGGAGGAAAGTAGAATCAGTGAACGTGTAAGCATCTCAGCGCTGGCAAGGGTTTCCACATGGGTGCTCCAGTATCCAGGGCTACATCGGAGTAGTTCCATGCAGCTTCTCCTTGAGGATGTCTTGCAGGAAGTGAGCCTTGCCAGCTGAAGCAGGGAACTGGCTAAGGCAGCTGCACCCTGGTCTGACCATCACAAAGCAAGAGACCCAAGAACTCTAAAGGCGAGGCTCACCGAGCCATTTATACCTCCGCCCTTCAACTAACCCCATGTGTTTATCTGCCAGGTTGACACCATAAACTTTAACGAACTCGCCTGTCTTCTTAAAGACCTTTTGCTTTTTTTATGTATTATATCCCTAATTGCTCCCACAACGCACCTGATCTTCAGTCATGAGTGTTTATATGTCAAATCTATCCTTGAGGTGGTCTGCTCTGCCATTGGCTCCTGGCATTTGCCTTGTTCTCACGGATGATATTGAGTTTCTCCATCATCTTTTTGTGCAGATGTAGTCAATTCCATTTCCACATATTCCACCTGGCAAGGTCCACGTATATAGTCACCAATTATATTGTTAAATAAAGATGTTTTCGAGGACTAAGTCATGGTCTTGCACAATTCTGCCATGCAACCCTGAGCACCATCTTTTCCAACCACTGATCCTCTTCTTTGTTTCCAAGTATCACATTCCTTTCACCAGGAATTATGACTTCATCTTGGTTGCACAGTTGATGAATTTCTGATGGCAGAATTTGTTTTAAAATTCTTCCGTGTCTTCATCTTTGGCATTAATAGAAGAAGGAGCCCTGGTTGCATAATGGTCATATGTTGGGCTGCTAACCACAAGGTCAGCACTTCAAAACCACCAGTTGCCCTACGGGAGAAAGATGAAGCATTCCACTCCTATAAAGAGTTGCTTTCTTGGAAACCCACAGAGATAGTTCTATCCTGTCCTGGGAGTCAGGATTGACTGTAGGGCAGTGAATTTGGGTTTGGGCATACATATGAATAATCATAATAGTAGTATTGTCTTCCTTATAGATGTGTGGATATTACCCTATCACTGACAGAATAGTTGTGTTTCAGGATAGACCTTAAAGTGGTCTCTTTCATCATAAATGTGATGTCATTCTTCTATGTGCCATTCCAGCATAATAAACCATAGGATTTTATAATTCAAAGTGGCTAATACCAGTCCATTGCAGCTCATCAGTGGTTACAGTGTCCACCTTTATACATTCCGTTTTATTTTTGACAACTTCTAGTCTTCCTAGATTCATGGTTCATGCATTACATCTTGCAATGATTAATGGTTGAGTGCAGCTGTTTCTTATTTTGAGTTGTGAGCTATTTAAGTATCACAGCAAGACAGATGAGTGGTAGGATTGTGTACATACAAGGTGAAGTTTGTGATGGAAAATGATAAAGGCCAAATAAAGGGTTAGGCAATGAACGTTACTGGAGTTTCTTTCCCTTCTACAGTTGAACCAGAGCCTCCTGTGAACCTAATTTTAGAAGTAAAACAGCCAGAAGACAGAAAACCTTATCTCTGGATAAAATGGTTTCCACCCAAACTGGGTGATGTAAAGTCTGGTTGGCTCACACTCCTGTATGAAATCAGATTAAAACCTGAGAAAGCAGTTGAGTGGGAGGTAAGTTAAACAGAAGCTTTGGAAAGGAAGCATGTCCTTTCTCTGAGATGATCCATTACAACTGAGAACAGGCCATTCCTCCTTATGAGTGGGCCCCGTGACAGGACCCTACTGGCTTTGCAGTACTAATATGACTCACTCAAGTGTGGAAGTATATTCTCCCCTCTGTTGGGATTGATGGTGGCACTCATGTTTACAGCTCTCCTCGGGCTAGTTTCTTTTACCACAAGGTCTCTCTCACTAGGTCCCCAACCTACCTCCAGTAGCATTTCATTGATCTAGAGACCTATAAGAGTATTTAAATGACATTAAGTAAAGGAAAAATATATTCTAGATTTAAATGCTTTAGTAGACATCACATATAAGAAAAAAAATTAAGTGCATTCATTAACATCCTCTGATTGCTATTCCATGTTCTAACACACCTAATTACTTCAAAAGCACATTTTATAGATAGTTTGTCCAAACCAGGATCTCCAGGACCACACATCATCATTGTTAAAACTCTCGTATTTCAATACACTTAGAAATTGTATCCTATTATCTTCTAGAATTTTCTACCCTCTGGATTTATCTCATTAGTTTGCGGTCTAATTTTGCTAATTTCTCTACCCCCTATATTTCCTATAACTGTTAAATAATTTGGGGCAAGAAAAATTCAGAAGTGATATCATGTACTCTATCTTGTCTCTAATCAGGAGACTAAGTATCTATTGATCCCCATGATTAACAGTGCCAAAGGTGATATCTTGGGGAGGTGATGTCTTGATTCTTTGAGTATACCATGATGCTGAATCCTACCGTATTACTTCAGCAAATCTGGATACTGTATTAGTCTGGGTACTTTGGAGAAACAAATCCACAGCAACTCATGTATAAGAGAGAGTTTTATGTAAAGAAAATGTGCATCACGAAAACATCCCAACCCAATGCTGCCCAAGCCCACAAGTCCAACATTAACCCATTAACCCAACACCAGTCCACAAAGTCCTCCACCTCACAAAACAGAGGCAATGATGCCGACTGCAGGAGGAAAGCTGAGTCAATGAACGAACAAGCATCTTAGCACTGGCAGGGGTCTCCACACGGCTGCTCCAGCACCCAGGGGTGCATCGGGATAGGTCCATGTAGCTTCTCCTTGGGGATGTCTTGTATGAAGTCAATCTTGCAAGCTGGAGCAGGGAACTGCTAAGGCAGCTGCACCCTGGTGCGACCATACAAAGCAAGAGACTGGAGAACTAGAAAAGCGAGGCTCACCACCCATTTATCCCTCCGCCTTTCAATTAGCCCCACATGTGATTATCGGCCAGGCTGGCACAATTAACTAACTCAGATACCCAGTTCACTTCCACCTAATAGTTTTAAGACCAACTAATAATCCTTGAATCAGTTGTTTCCTTAGGATAACAATTATCCAATGTTATTATTTTTATTTTATTCCATTTTATGTATTCATCAGACTTATTTTTTTCTGTTTTACTTATTCATCAGACTGATTGGCTTCCATAAAAGTAGAATTGTTGTGGGGTAGTATTGGTCTGTCCCCATAAAATAGAGTTCAAAATTAACAGAGAGAGTCTGTTAGATATTTGTGTAAGCAATATCAGAAGGGAGAACGACATGGGATTGAGAGAGTGGAATAGTGAGAACACAATATCTGCTAAATCTGCCTCATCAGCCTAACTCCTCTAGCAATTTACTGTTGGGGGCCAGGGGGAAGTATCTTGTATTCATAGCAAAAATCAGAGGTGATATCTGTTTTCCATTTTCTTCCTTAGATCCATTTTGCTGGGCAACAGACTCAGTTTAAAGTCCTTAGCTTATATCCAGGGCAGAAATACCAGGTCCAGGTTCGCTGCAAGCCAGATCATGGATTTTGGAGTGAGTGGAGCCCTGCGAGTTCTATTGAGATACCGAGTGGTGAGTGTCTTGACTGCCTTTTGTTGATCTTTCGATATATTTTTTAAACAGAGTGCAGTTAGTAAATCTGCATAGTGCCTGCTAGTGGAGAAACTCTTTTTAGCCTTTAACCAGAAGATAAACAAAAGTGGGTGTATCATCTCGCCATCCAGTACATGGAGTTGGGAAAGGTAGCATTGCTCACTGGATCATTGACTATGTAAACCAGCTTTTAGACAAAAGTCATAGACCTGGGTATGGCGTGTCTCAAAGAGACTTGATGGCCACTTACTCCGGGGCCGCTCCATGTTCTCCATCCCTATCACGTGGAGAGCGCAGCCAAAGTCATCATCTGGTTGTCCCAAAATAGGCTAGGTGGTAGCTCTTCCCAAAACATGAGCTGATGTTCAGTCTGGGATCGGTGCATGGTGTTCTCATGGTCAAAGCACAAGTATACATTAAGCATTTAATTCTAACAAAGGGGACGTGCTATTGAATGTTACCCAGAGATGTGATTATTCAATATGGATTTTTATAGTCCTTTACAGTTCCTGAAATTCTCATTTGAGTTCTTCCTGCCCCCACCCCTAATGCCTCCCACCCCAAAACCATGTCAGATGTTCAGAGAGAATATAATTAAAAGTATGGAAACCAAAACAGTGACATTAAGAAGCTAATCCGGAAATGTATATCAAAGTGTAGCTGTTCTCACACTTGCTTATTATATACTAGATGCCAGTGCGTTCATTGACTTGGCATACAGAAAAGAGCATGGACCTGTAGATCATCACTTACACATGCATCTAGTCCAGCTCCGGTTCTTAATACATAAAACAATACATGCAACATATACAAAAGTCGGGTTGTGGTGCCATGGAATCAACCCCAACTCCTAGCAACCCCTACAAGACAGAGTAGAACGATTCCATGGGGTTTCCAAGGCTGTGATGTTTACAGGAGCAGATTTCTAGGTCTTTTTCCCCAAGGAACCATTGGGTAGATACAAACCATTCACCTTTTGGTCAACAGTCAGGCACTTAACCTTGTACCCTCCAGGCAACAGTCAGGGCAGACTCAAACCAAAAGCCAAACCCACTGCCATCAGGTCTAGTCCAGCCCTTAGTGACCCTGTATGGCAGGGTGCAACTGCTTCTGTGGGGTTCTGAAACAGTGAGTCCTCATGGGAGTAGAAGGCCTCCTCCTCCTCCTCCTCCTCCTCCTCCTCCTCCTCCTCCTCCTCCTCCTCCTCCTCCTCCTCCTCCTCCTCCTCCTCCTCCTCCTGAGAGCAGCTGGTGGTTTCCAACTGCTGACCTTGCTGTTAGTAGCCCAGTGCATAACACACTGTGCCACCAGGGCTCCTAAAAGGCAGACTTCCTGGGTTTAAATCCCAGAAAGCAACCTTATAGTTACATGACCATAGGTAAATCACTCTTTGAGTCTCCATTTTTCATCTACAAAATAAGGCACTATATAAATATAAAGAGTGCACAATAATATATGTAGCTTTTGTTAAGAAGCCAATAAATCTAGACCTTTATTATTATTATTATTATCATTACTATTATTATTGCAGCTATGTAGTTTTGAGTTCCCTCTCTACCAAATCAAACAATAAGTGAAAAGATCCTAAAATGTCTAGTAATATAACATATATAAAGCGAACCAAAATGTCATACTATTGGGGAATAGTCCTATTCGTCTTAGTTGGATGGATGTTCAGATGAAAAGAGATATAGGAAGGGGAGCAAGCTCTTGAGCTCAAAAGTTGCATTCACTGTTTGCTTTGATGATATTTCTCTGATCAAAGGATTCTGACTGCTTGTTTTCTAGATTTCACCATGAAAGATGTAACCGTGTGGGTCTTTGTAGCTGTTCTTTCTGCTGTCGTTTGTTTGATTATGGTCTGGGCAGTAACTTTGAAAGGCTACAGGTACTTCCTCTTCCCTTGACCCCCTCAATAGCATAGTTATCAAAGATAATGGCCCCAAAAGATAATACAAAAATGATGGAAGCCTATGGAGAATCTAAGCCTCTCATTTGAGGCATTAGTCACAGCATATTCAGCCCGAAAGTCTTTTAACAGTGCTGTCAAAATAAATAGGAAAATGGGCTTGTTTGAGGCTGATACTCTTCCCATCAAATAGAGGTCCGTAGTTTTAACTGGTAAAATAACTAAATAAATAAATTTTAAAAGAGCTGGCACGAGCAGTTCAAATGAAGGACAATTAATTGACGAAGGTCAGAATTGCTGATACTAAATTAGCAGAGACTGTTTTCTGTGTTATGGTTACTTGCTGTTGGGTCAACGCTGACTCATAGTGACCCCATGTGTGTACAGAGTAGAAATACTCCTCCCCCCTCCCCTTCCCCCCTCCCCCACGGTTTTCAAAGCTGTGACCTTTTGGAAGCAGATTGGCAGATTTATCCTCCAAGATGCCTCTGGCGGGATTCGAATAGCCAACATGTAGGTGATAGTCCAGGGCTTAACCATTTGTGTTACCACGAGGACTTTCCACAAGTCTCTGTTAGTATTATCTTCCCTGTCGATTATTCATTTTAGATTTCCCAGAACGCCTTCCCCCTAACCACCCTAGACCCTTGTTGTAGATGTTCAGGGATGAAACTTATACTTTAAAAAATTCTAAAGAGGAAAATAACTCATTTCTATCCAATCTCATGCATTATTTTAAAGTATGGTGACCTGCATCCTTCCGCCAGTTCCTGGTCCAAAAATAAAAGGATTTGATACTCATCTGCTGGAGGTAAGTGCCAGAGTTGGCTGTAGTGGGCCTTCGTAAGTGTGAACATGGTGCATGCACACACAATCCCAGTCATTTCAGTCCAACCCTCGCCCGGTCATCCCTGCCCAGCTTCCTTCTTCATTAGCAAGTGGCTGCACAGAAAGGTGGACGATTAAGTGGCAAGATGACAATGTGTGTGCTTCTACTAGTGTGTGTGTGTGTGTGTGTGTGTGTGTGTGTGTGTACATATGCATTGTGCTCCTGCACGGGAAGAGGAAAAGCTGAGTGCTTCCAAGGTGCATAAAGAACCAGAGAGATAAAGGTGCTAATGATCAAACAGGATCCTCAGAGGGAAAGATGAGGAAGCCAAGAGAAAACAAGAACACATGGACATATGCTAGATTCACTGAATTTCCCCCAAAGCACTGAAAGAACTATTTGTACAAATAACCAATTTAGGAAGAACTATTTGTACAAATAACCAATTTAGGATATTTAAATGAATACAAATCAGAGCCCCACCATCACCTCCATCATAAACTGGTCAAAGCTTCCATATCCATGTTCTTTAAAGAAGGCCATGCTAACAGACTATTCCATTAGAATTGTTACCCAGTTTCGTCACACAATTGAGATGAGATTGGTGCATTGAGTTACTCAGCTTGCCAGAGACCATCTAGATTGATTCAAGAGGGAACTAAGTGCATTTTAAGAAAAAGAAGGGTTAGAACATTTTAAATTTCTCACCAAATTTCAGTCTTATATTGTGTTCTCACACAATTCGATCCGTGAGCAAAAAGAAATGACAAGTAGCTGCCATGCCCATTCTGTCTTATAGCAACCCCAGTGCGTCAGGCCGGCGCTGGGCTCGATGGCGTACTCACTCGTTGATTTAGAGAATGAGATCACCGGGCTTTTCATCCAAGGTGCTTCCAGGTGCACTCAAGTTTCCAACTTTCAGTTAGCAGGCAAGCCTCTTAACCCAGGGACGTGGCCAGACTCACTGCCACTCATCTGCCAGAGAGCTCTGCCACATGGGCATTATTTATTCTCATTTTACTAATGGAAAAATTGAAGCTCAGACAACAATTTGCCCCAAATCATATACTAAGTGACAAAGTCAGAAGATTGTCATAAATCTCCGACCTAAGTCAGAAAACAGGGAAATGAAAGTGAAGTAAGAGAGGGGCCAAGAGGAAGAAGGAGGGCAGGAAGAAGGAAAGAGGAGAGGGCTAGGAGGAAGGACAGAAAATACAAGATAGGAAAAAAAGATGGGAAGGAAGAGGGTGGGAAACAGGAGACAGAAGGAATGAGGTAAACGGAGAGGAAACCTGGGATAGGAAAAGGCAGGAAGGGAAGGCAGAGAAAGGGAGCAGGAAAAGGAAGTGAAGAGACAGGAAGGAGGAGAAACAGAAATCGCACAAGACGGAGATTGGAATCCAGTTACTAGTACCAGATTCTACGAAGAGATGGAGGAGGTTTGGGAACTGGCAGCTACACTCCAGAGCCTCCTGCCAGCGACCCAGTGCATTCATGAGCACCATGGTTTTAGACATTTGACAAACTTTTATTTATTGATGGAATAGTCAAGTGGAGCCCTGGAGGTGCAGTGAGTTACAAGTTGGGCTGCTAACTGCAAAGTCAGCAGTTTGAAACCACCAACTGCTCCATGGGAGAAAGGTGAGGCTTTCTACTCCCCTGAAGAGTTAGAGTCTCAGACACCCACAGGGGCAGTTCTGCTCTATAGTTCTGCCCTCCTACAGGGTCACTATGAATCAGAATTACTTGATGGCAGTGAGTTTGGTTTGGTGTTTTGGTAATATTCACCTATTTAGCAATGATTATTTTTTCATTGTTTTATTAGGTTATAGTTCACATATCATACAATTCATTAGTTCTATCATATTAAGAAGGATTGTGCAATCGTAACCACAATCAACTTTAGGACACTTTCTTCTTCCTTGTAGTCATCATGTTGACTCCCAGTTCTCCATCCATGTGCCCAGGAAACTATTAATCCAATCTAGTCTCTATAGATTTACCTACTCTGAATTCCCTATCCAGAAAAACATACCTAACAAAGACAAACAGCAAAAATGGACCAAACAATAATAACAAAATAAAACAGAGGAAAGACCTCAAAAAGAAAGCAAAAAATATTCAAATATCCACATCTGAAATGGTTCAAAGAGAAATCTAATGCAGTTGAGTCTAGCTACATCTGCCATAATTGTCTTTGCGATACTCTCTGTCTGATATTGAAGCTATTCGCATCCCTGAACGATGGTTAGAGAGGATTCATCAGAGACTTAATCTATGTACAGGCCCTGCAAATGGATTTTAGCCTTTGACCATCATCCATAATATTCTGCAGACTGGGTGTTTGGCATTTAAGCTCTGATACCATTCCATCGTCCAGATTTCGATTTTATTTACAATCCTTGGATCACACAATCTGGTAAGCTTCTTCTGTTTAGCAGACTCCTCACTTAAATGGTGGCTTGTTTTGAGACAAGCCTTTAAGGCCCCAGATGCTATTATTTTTGCTAGCCAAGCACCATCTGATTTCTTCAGGACACTTTGCCATAGCACCCATATCTTCAGTGATCTCTTTACAAGGGCGAGTACCGAGTAGAAATCCATGATTATTATTGCTTAGAAAGAGACTAGGTTAAAATCATGAAATGATTTTTTAAGGTGCTGCTGAGGAAGAAACAAGGGAATATGGTGTATAGATATACCTCCAGTAGGAGGGCTATCCTATACTTTCTGGCAGTGAGAAATTGAACTTAAAAACTAAAGAGACCCAAGTTTCTTAAAGTGGGAGAGCAGCAAGGCTACTCACAGATTCCCCATTACCATTGACCAGAAATGCGAGGCACTTCGGTGAGCCCCACTCCTCCCTGGTGCATCCAATTTTTCCCAGCACCTGAGGCAATCTAGCCAGCCACACCTCTTCCTCACTGGTCTATAGGGACATTTGCTGATA